AAGGAAATGGATCAATATTTGGAATCACACCCTCTCCCTAGACTTAGCCGGGAAGAAATAGAGCTCCTGAACAGACCAATTTCAAGCACTGAGATTAAAGAAATGATAACAAATCTTGCAACAAAAAAATGCCCTGGTCTGGATGGCTTCACACCAGAATTCTGTCAAACCTTAAAGGAAGAGCTTATTCCTGTACTGCAGAAATTATTCCAAAAAATTGAGGAGGAAGGACTCTTCCCCGACATGTTCTATGAAGCAAACATCACCTGATACCAAAACCAGGAAAAGACCCAACTAAAAAGGAGAACTTCAGACCAATTTCACTAATGAATATAGATGCAAAAATACTCAACAAAATCCTAGCCAATAGATTACAGCTTATCATTAAAAAAGTCATACATCATGATGAAGTAGGTTTCATCCCAGGGATGCAAGGCTGGTTTAATGCAAGTCTATAAACGTTATCTGCCGGATTAACAGAAGTAAAAACAAAGACCATATGATCCTCTCAATAGATGCAGAAAAAGCATTCGATAAAATCCAGCATCCTTTTCTAATTAGAACACTGAAGAGTATAGGCATATATGGCACATTTCTGAAACTAATCAAAGCTATCTATGACAAACCCACAGCTAATATTTTACTGAATGGAATAAAACTGAAAGCTTTTCCTCTTAGAACTAGAAGCAGACAATGTTGTCTTCTGTCACCATTACTACTCAATGTAGTGCTGGAAGTTCTAGCCAATACAGTTAGTCAAGACAAGGAAATAAAGGGCATCGAAATGAGAGCAGAGAAGGTCAAACTCTCCCTTTTTGCTGACAATATGATCTTATACTTAGAGAACCCCAAAGACTCAACCACAAGACTCCTGGAAGTCATCAAAAAATACAGTAATAGGATATAAAAAATACAGTCTCAGTATATAAAATCAGTGTCCACAAGTCAGTAGCCTTTGTATATGCCAATAACAGCCAAGATGAGAGGCTAATTAAGGACACAACTCCCTTCACCATAGCTTCAAAGAAAATGAAATACCTAGGAATATACCCTAACAAAGGAGGTGAAGGACCTCTATAATGAAAATTATGAAACCCTAAGAAAGGAAATAGCAGAGGATATTAACAAATGGAAGAACATACCATGCTCATGGTTGAGAAGAATCAACATTGTTAAAATGTCTATACTTCCCAAAGCAATCTACCTATTCATTGCCATCTCTATTAAGATGCCAATATTGTACTTCCAAGATTTGGAAAAAATGATTCTGCATTTTGTATGGAACCAGAAAAAACCCTATATAGCTAAGGCAGTTCTTAGTAATAAAAACAAACTGGAGGCATCACTATACCAGATTTTAGGCTGTACTACAAAGCCATAGTGGTTAAGACAGCATGGTACTGGCACAAAAATAGAGACATAGACATTTGGAATCGAATAGAAAACCAGGAAATGAAACTAACATCTTACAACCACCTAATCTTCGATAAACCAAACAAGAACATACCTTGGGGGAAAGACTCCCTATTCAATAAATGGTGCTGGGAGAACTGGATATCCACACGTAAAAGGCTGAAATGGGACCCACACCTTTCTCTACTCACAAAAATTGATTCAAGATGGATAAAGGACTTAAATTTAAGGCATGAAACAATAAAAATTCTCAAAGAAAGCATAGGAAAAACACTGGAAGATATCAGCCTGGGGAAAGAGTTCATGAGGGCTCG